CGGGCCTGGAGGGGACCAGGAAGACCTCCACCCCCCGCCGCACAGTGTGCGAAGCCCGGCCCCAGGGGGCTGCGAGGCGGGGCTGGCCTTCTAAAGGAAGGACACTGGTTGCGACCACAGCCAAGCTGACAGAAGGCACCTCCTCCACCCTCCCAACCCCCGACCCCTGCCATGGACCCGCTTTGCAGAACAGGAGGACAACGGGGTTCACGTTCCCAGGAGAGCCCAGGGGAGCCCAAGAGTGTCTGCTAGATAAAGCCCCTTCATCACTCCCCTGCCAGTGTAGACACCCCTTCATCCACCTCCCCCGCCAGTGCAGACACCCTGCTTTCCCAGCAGGTCAAACACGCAGAGGCCAGTGCTGGCTCCTGGTCCTGGAGCGGGAGTCCCAGGTGTCTGACTTTAGGTTCTGTTTATTAACACCCTATCCTTGAAAAAGCAACCCTAGAGAATTTTATCATATGTGAATGAAAAATTTAAAAATAAGATGAACTAAGTAACCAAATAAATTTTAAAATAAAATAAATGTAAGGCACAAAATTTGTGCCTTAAATTTGTTCCTCTGACGAAAACCGCCAGGTTCCTGGGGAGGGGGGGGTGCTGGCCCACAGGCTGGGGAGGCTCCTGGGGAGGGGAGAGCCTGGGCCCACCAGCTGCCTGTCCCCTCAGTGTCCGAGTTCTTGGAGGAGTTCCCTGGTGAGGGTCGTGAGTGTGTCAACTGCGGGGCCCTGTCCACACCACTGTGGCGCCGAGACGGCACTGGCCACTACCTGTGCAATGCCTGTGGCCTCTACCACAAGATGAACGGCGTCAACCGGCCCCTCGTTCGGCCCCAGAAGCGCTTGGTGAGTTGCGGCTGGGCAGAGGGGGGCCTGGGCGCAGTGCTCCCCGCGGGGACCTCTTGCAATCCACCCAGGTGACACCAGAGCCCCTGGGGTGGGGGGATAGGGGAATGCGCCAAAAACAGCCTGGTTGCCCACCCCGGTCGGTCAGGCCAGGCCGGCTCAGGTCTTCTCTGAGAGTGCTCAGGGCAGGGCAGGGGATCCCAGTGGGGATGCCAGGGGCCACCAGCTCATAGCGCCCAGCCCTGGGAGTGCTCTGGGGAACAGGAATCCAGGCTCTGGAGCGATGGTGCCAGCCAGGCTCTGCTCAGTGCTGGGTCCAGGAAGGGCTGCTGCCAGGAGCCAGGAGCTCAGCCCTGCGAGTCGGTGGTGGCTGGCTGTGGCCTGGCCCGGTCTCCAAGGCCTCAAGGTGACCCTACCTGGGAAGAGGCTTAAGGGAAGGTGGCCGCTGGATACTTCACTGAAGGGCGTTGAAATCTGAAATTGGAGAGTCTTTGGGTGTGTAGTCCCCTCGGGGAGCACTTTCTACCCATACTTCAGGGACCGGAGGGACACCAGATTTATGCCTGTGGGCAAAACTTGTTTTCACTTTTGGTTTTTCCTGGCTTGTGGCTGAGCAGGGAGTGGGGGACTCCAGAGCCCGGACTTTTGCCCCAGGCAGGGCACAGTCCCCAGAGGCTGGAAGAGGCTGAAAGTTTCTTTGTTCTATACGTTTTCCCAGGCAAACCTTTACTTTCAAGTAATTTTACAAATAAGAATTTGGGGTGTTGATGCTGTTTGCAAGTTATCTAAAATTGAGGAGGCCACAGTGGCCTTTGGGTCAGAAGGCTGAGCAAGGGTATGTTCCTGGGCACCAAGCCTTCCTCTGCTGGTGGTGTGGCCTCCGTGCGGGGTCGATCAGCCAGTTCCCGCCGTCACCCTCGGTGGAGGCCAGCCCTCCTGCCGCTGTCCTGCGGGTTGGCTGTTCTAGATGGCTGGATTCGCGCCCTGTGCCGGTGCAGCTCTGTATGGCCCTCAGCCACAGGCTGAGGGGAAAACCTGGGACCCTGGGCTATGAGGGACCAGGATCTGAGCATGGGAGGTCCCAGTGGAGCATGTGGGAAGAAGGACCGCAGGCTGGGGGCGGCCGTCACACTCTTCCTTGGAGCTGGCCTAGAGCCTGGGGCTCTGCAGGCCCAGCCTCCTCCCATGCCTGCTTGTCGGAGGGAAGGCTCCTAGGAGTCCATCCCCCTCTTGGCCTGTTTGCCCCGTGACTGTGCCTGTGCTCCCAGGTGTGCTGTTCCAGCCTCGTGTCCATGCGGCCCTCACTGAGGGGTTAACCACTGAGGTTAAGAAGGGGTAGGAGCCAGGCACGGTGGCTCATACCTATAGTCCCAGAACTTTGGAAGGCTGAGGCAGGAAGATTGCTTAAGCTCAGGAGTTCGAGACCAGCCTGGGCAACATAGCAAGAATCCATCTCCACTAAAAATTTATAAAAAAAAAAAAAATAGAGGCCGGGCACGGTGGCTTACGCCTGTAATCCCAGCACTTTGGGAGGCCGAGGCGGGCGGATCA